TCTTTTTTCGGACTAAGGACGAAGCCTATTGAAAATGGTTAAAATCGGTCCATTATTTCACCTAGCCCCCATACAACAGAACGCCCCGAAAAGGGCTTCTGAGCTCATAATTATGTTAAATATACCTGTATCAAAAACAGCACAACTAAGTTTTATACAAGCCTTGATGACGTTGCCAAATTTTATAGAGATCGGGGCTCATTTGACCCTAGCTCCCATACAAAGTCCCCTTCAGAAAATTACTTGAATGTCCAAAATTAACTTATAAACACAAATATCGGGATGAAATTCAGTACAATGAAAAATTATGTAAATATAAATATATTTACAAAATTTTATCGGGCTTGGTCCATATTTGCCCCTAGCTCCCCTATAAAGCCTCGTTCTGAAAATTAGTTTTTCATCCATAAATTGCTTAAATGTATCGGAACAAGGTAATAGAAGATAAATGCTTTATTATGAAAAATAAATCACATTTAATATTCATAACTGGTGTAGGGTATCATATGGTCGGTCACGCCCGACTATACTTTCTTACTTGTTATACCCTCCACCACCATCAGTGGTGATTGAGGGTATATATAACTTTGTCATTCCGTGTGTAACACCAAGAAATATTCATCTGAGACCCAACAAAGTATATATATTCTGGGTCCTTATAAAATTCTGAGTTAATTTAGATGTGTCCGTCTGTCTGTGTAAAACACGCTCACGATAAAACGAAGCAAAATCAACCAAAATGTTCTTTATTTTCCTAGGTTGTTTGGTATTGAAAATGGACAAAATCGGTTCACACCGGGAAAAGTTATGAATCAAAAAAATAAGCATTTTTTAAACATTTTGATGTAATTTTCTCGAAAACTATGCAAGATAATTCCATGAAAATCACCATGCATTCGTTTCTACAAGAGCTTGATCCCTGCTGAAAATTGCCAGAATCGGTTGACAATTTCATATACCCTCCATACAAAAGTACATATTCCCGGAAAATGGGTTTTTTGTTAATAACTTCCGTCACAATGTCGATATCATCACAAAATTTTCCAAATTAAAATCTTATGTGAATAGAATTCATTCAGAGAAAAAATTTTCTGGATCAGTCCATAATTGGACATAGCTCTCATACAAGGTCCCCTCCCGAAAATCACTTAAACGCGCATAACTCATTACTAAATTAAGATATCCATATAAAATTTGGTACAAGTATTATTTATATGCAAAGAAATATTACTGTGAAATTTTTTTCCGATCGGTCCATAATTGATCATAGCTCCCATACAAGGTCCCCTCCCGAAAATCTCTTAAACGCGCATAACTCATTACTAAATTAAGATATCCATATAAAATTTGGTACAAGTATTACTCATATACATATACAGAAATATTACTTTGAAATTTTTTTCCGAGCGGTCCACAATTGGTCATAGCTCCCATACAAGGTCCCCTCCCGAAAATCACTTAAACGCACATAACTCATTGCTAAATTAAGATATCCATATAAAATTTGGTACAAGTTTTGCCCATATGCATAGAAATCAGAGATAGGGGTAGTGCACTAAATATTTAGTTAAATCAATAATTCACTAGCACTAAATATTATTTCAAAAAATATATTTTTCACTAATTTTCATCAGCTTAGTGGTAGTGAAGCTTATATTTTTAGCACTAATATTTTTTAGTGATAATTTTATTTTTTTAACTATAACTCAATTGAGTGATAGTGTAGAAAAAAGCACTACACTCAAGAAGTTAAAAATTTGAACAGTCACTAACAAAAGGCTGCAATAATTTTCTTTGCACTAATTTTTTTAAATGAAAATTAAAAAATTTTTAAGACAATAAATGATTATTTTTTTTTTAAAAGATACATCTATTAAAATGGAAAATACAGATTTTGATAGTGATGACACTATAATGGACCCTACATAAGCAGTTACTCCAAATACATTTTATGCTTTAAAAAGAAATGAAACACCTGAATTCCAAAACTGTTCCAGTAGAACGATTATTTTCTTTTAACGGAATGGTGGACTCTCCTCGGAGAAATAAATTAATATGTCGATTATGTATCTCGATTGCCACTTCAGCTGCGTTGCCAGTTGCCAAAATGATGTGGTTACTGGATGTTTTTATTAAGCAATAGCTTGGAAACTTTGTAAATAATTAAAGTTTTAGTCATTGACTTGAATGAATTCATGACTTGGACCATTTCTAGACTGGTCTATTAACTTGAACTTTCAATTTAGTGAAACATTTCTCCTTTGAAAAAAAAAATAGTGCAGGAATATTTTTTGAACTAATAATTTAGTGTAGAAAAAAATATTTCACTAGGCTGTAAAAACAAATATTTTAACTATTTTTAAAATATTTTCAGTTAAAAATTTTAAATATCACTATCACTATTGTTGAGTGAGTCTTATATTTTTCAATTCATCACTAAACTTAAATAAAAGTAGTGAATAATTTTGAACTACCACTAATTATTAGTGATAGTTAAAAATTAGTGCACTACCCCCATCTCTGATAGAAATATTACTATGAAAGTTTTTTCCGATCGGTCCATAATTAGTTATAGCTCCCATACAAGGTCCCCTCCCGAAAATCACTTAAACGCGCATAACTCATTACTAAATTAAGATATGCATATCAAATTTGGTACAAGTATTACTCATATGCACAGAAATATTACTGTGGAAGTTTTTTCCGATCGGTCCATAATTGGTCATAGCTCCCATACAAGGTCCCCTCCCGAAAATCACTTAAACGCACATAACTCATTACAAATTTAAAATATCCATATAAAATTTAGTACAAGTATTGCTTATATGCACAAAAATATTACTGAGAAATTCCGATCGGTCCATAACTGGTATAGCTCCCATACAAGGTCCCCACCCGAAAATCACTTAAATGCACAATATTCATTACCAAATAATGATATAGATTATTATCATAGCTCCCATACAAGGTCTTTTTACGAAAATCTCTTAAACGCACATTACTCATTACCAAATAAAGCTATTGATAAAAATTTGGCTCAAATATTAGTTCTGTATACAAAAATTCTATTTCAAGATTTTTTCACTATCGGTTCATAACATGGGTGCGGTCGGTCCCATACAAGGTTCCCTTCAGAAAATCATTTAAACACACATTACTTATTACTAAATTACGATATAGATACAAAATTTGACAGAAATATTGCTTTTATGTACAGAAATTTTGCTTAAAGAATTTTTTACGATCGGTCTAAATTTGGTCATATCTCCCATACTAGGTCCTGCACCTAAAAGCGCTTTAACCGTATTTAACTAGTTGCATTATCATTTTGTGTAGAACAAAATTATATATACATATGTATTTTGAAAATCCTTAAATCTTTCACACACATGCATACTGCAAATTACTAAATATTGCTAAGCCCTATAAAAATATAAAAGAAAATGGCGTTTGTAATATTCAATAAATCTTGGAATTGTAATAGATTTAAGTTGTTTAAATCTTGAGATTTTTTTATTTAAGACATGAGAAAACTTATTTCTACAAATATTTGATCAATTAGAAAAGTATTAATATAAAAGTAGCTGGTGGAGGGTATTTAAGATTCGGCTCAGCCGAATATAGCACTCTAACTTGTTTTGTAATACTTTTTATAACAACGTTAGAATCTTATAAAGCCCCTCTTTATTGCAACTTTGTTGGAAGATTCTAACGAGTGCTTATATATTGTTTGCCACTAAATTTATGCTTATTTTGTTTGACATTATAAATCACTTTTGATTTGTCTACGACACAAGCACTACGTGCATATTACTTATAAAAACCATCTACTTCTACGAGGTAATTTTTTGGTTGAAATAAAAAGAGATCTTCTCTAATAAAATTGAATATTCTCTGTTTTATTTTTATATAAAATCTTGGGAATCTTGTAGGAGCTCAACAAATGGTATACAATTAATTTTTTTTGACATGAGTGTTTATTCAAAAACTGAAGAGTTCCCGTCCAAATACTCAAATGTTGACTGATAACAAAAAAGGGGCAAAATGTGATAGCCAAAATCAAAGAGCTACTCTTTCCAACGTACAGTTAATCTTAATAATAAGTATACAGAAATACTGACAATTGGTTTTATTTAAAAAAGGATATTATTTTTTCAAAAACCAAAAAAGTAACACATTTATTTATTAAAAACAATTATGATAATTATTATTCACTACTTTTTTCCGGGTTATTTTTGTTATTTGAGTTCTCATTTAAGGTGTAGTTATATAGGTGCAAAATTTACGTCACAAAAGTAAGTATACAGATAATTTCAATATAGGAGCATTTTTTCCTATTTAAGAACATCTGACTATTTAAACCCCCGAAGTTTTGGGTCGGGTATTCAATAATATCCCTCGTTTGTTCATTATGATGCATTGGAAGACGATATTTTAACTTTTAAATTAATTATTTCTTTACAATAATTGCAATCCATTGCGGAACATTGCCGTTTTTAACATAGCATAGCGTACATATTCGATATTTAATGACCATTTCCTAAAATTTATATCTTAAAATGCGAAATTAATAATATTTGTACTAGTATCCATTAATTAAAAAATTGGTTCCAATCATCCATTACACACTCCTAAATATGTACTACCAATAATTTAACATACCCCAGGTGTCTTACTTTGCGGACACCTGACTACGGTCCTGGTGTAAACTCGACAACACTTCCTTTTAGTTCACTCTTTTTATTTCTATACCACTGTTCGCCTATATATTCATATTCATTCGATCTTATTACGAGATGCGTCGTCGTATTGTTAATTTGGTATTACTAATGTCGAAAATGACTATGTATTTTATATTGACTGTCGAAATTTTGAATGAAAAACATCAACGACTTGCACTACAGTTTTCAGTTTTATGGTTTGTCACAAATGTTAATTGAAAAGAAACGAAAAACCATGACATAACATACTAATTTATATATTAACGGTTTCTTTTTCAGATTTCTAATGAAATTAAGCCATGAGACGGTCACCATAGAATTAAAGAATGGCACTCAAGTTCACGGTACAATTACTGGAGTTGATGTTGCTATGAATACCCATTTAAAATCCGTGAAAATGACAATAAAAAATAGAGATCCTGTTCAACTTGAAACTCTAAGCATAAGAGGAAATAATATAAGATATTTTATTTTGCCTGATAGCCTTCCTCTTGAAACACTACTTATTGATGATACTCCAAAATCCAAATCAAAGAAAAAAGAAAATAATCGTGCTGGCAATAGAGGTCGAGGTAGAGGATCTCGTGGAAGAGGAGGGACTCGAGGTAGAGGAAGAGGTAGAGCTACAAACAGGCGTTAATTTTACTTCTCTTTTTCTATATTATTCGGGAATATTTTTATTTAATATGTTTACAATATAAAAACGGTACTATTAAATAAATTATTTTTCTTGTCTTTTGTTTTTGTTTAGGATCAATTTAAAACTTTTAATAGGAATTTAACTAAATTAATTTTTATACCCTTAACCTTCGTGAGAAGGGTATATATAAATTTGTTATTCCGTTTGTAATTTCCAAAATATAATTTTCCGACCCTATAAAGTATATACACCCTATAAAGTATATATCTGTTTCAAAGTAGTAGTAATTAACATATAATAAAGAAAGAATTATTATTAAAGCTCTAGAGGATAAGAATCCATGCATGAAATAGTATAGCTCTTTTGAGTGAAAAATTTGGCGTAAATCGCTCTGTGTCACGATTTCTCCAGAGAAAAAGCGTGCAAATAAAACAAGACCGTCAGGCGATTAAATTGTTCAAAATCGGCTTACGAAGGATGTCAGTGGACGTTTCCAGTCTCGCAAATGGGCATATGGGTGGCTCTATTGGAGGTTACATTGCTTTCAGAAGGTTTAATAAAGTCTAATTTGTTGGAAAATAATTCACAAACGAATTCCACAATTGTCAAAAGTATGAGTAAATATAATAGAGTGTAATATATACAACTAAGAGTGAAAATCGCTACTGTCCTTAATTAAGTCAATTTGGTCAAAAAAACTTGCCGCTCCGATAGCAATTTCTAAAATGCTTTCGTTCGTTATTTTTAAAAAAATATTTTAATAATTTTCATATAAAAGTATACTATTTTCTATAACATGCAATATTATTGTGATTTGTTAAAATTTCCATAACAAGGATTTAAAGAACAATGTTCTCTTTAAGATAATGTAATACAAATGCAAAAATGTTGGCAAAAATATTTATTTTTCTCATATAGAAAAAGTAAAATTTTTACAAAACTTCAATGCCTTTGGTGCGGGAACTTTATTCAAGATCGTGACATATTCATATTCTTTAACATATGTTCATGCCCTACAAGCTCTTGCTATAGTATTTTTGATTTCATTGCAAAAATTTCGCTTCTTTCACCACACCAAAATTTATTTTTCGTCATATGTGAATGTTGGTTGAAGAGTATGTCTTTGTCTTCGCCATCTAGTAGTTTTTTTTTAAGAGAAGTAACACTTAGGCAATTAATGCCTGTAAGTATAAACCGTGTTACTTTCTTTGGAAAGGGGATAGAGTAGAGAGGAAAGGTGGTGAAAGAAGAAGGAAAGCTTATTTTTATTAATTTACAACTCTGTAATTGCGCGTTATGATTGTTTTTAGTACAGAGTTGCAGCACCTCTGGTGGTAAGTAGGCGAATTAATGTAAGCTAAGTATAGCCAATTTAAATTTGTTTTACTTCGGCGACGATTTAGTGCTATGGGGTTACCTCCGAAGGAGTGCGCTGGGGTAAATATTAGTTTTTTTAATAGAAACTTAATAATTTCCCGAAATTGATGTTCATTGGCGGCGGCTGGGAATCGAACCCAGACCGATATTGCCAAGTAATGCTTTGTAGTCAAACGCGCTAACCACTAAGCTACAGCACTCTCAGTTTAGTTGAGTTTAAAAGGCTTGTATACCAAATGTATACATCCACTCGGAGACCCAAAGGTCCATTGTGAATCCCTTATACAAAGAACAAGGAGAAATAAAAAGAAGAAAAGAGAAAGATGAGAAGAGTGAGAGTTTCTCTCCTAAAAAAGAACAAAGAATGAAAGTGGCCATGGAAGGGAAATCCCTAATTGTGCGTTATCTGAAAATCCAAAAAATATTCCCCTGATACCCACAATGTCTCCTAAAAAAAGAACAAAGAATGAAAGTGGCCATGGAAGGGAAATCCCTAATTGTGCGTTATCTGAAAATCCAAAAAATATTCCCCTGATACCCACAATGTCGCCTAGGTTTCACCCTGCTATTTCATCGTGGAATTATTTACCTTGCCATTTCAGTCTCAGATCCTGTATTCTGGGACAGTGGCATAAATATGCCCTACTGCCTCCAGTTCCTCTTCGTCCTCACATAACCTGCAAAAATCATGTGTGTTACCGACCCATTACCCTAAAGGCTCCAATTGAGCAGTGTCCAGTTATTACCCCTACTAAAATCCTTATACTCTTCCTGTCCAGTCCTAATAGCACTCTGGTTGCTTTTGCATTTAACTTCGGCCATAGTGTCCTGTGCCAGGATCGGTTGGTGGAGTTTTTGAAATATTTCGAGATTAGCCTATAGTAATAACAAAGGCATGCGACAAAAATAAGGAGAACGGTGTTCAAAAATCAATCTTACTACAGACATCAAATTTTACTACTATGACTTTGTTTTGGAAATTTTAAAAGACGCTTGTAAAATATAGACATTCAAAGTGAGAAGAAACAATCGAGCTGAAATTTTCGAGAAAAAATTTAAAGGATGGAAATAATAGCTGATGGTACTGGCTTTGTCTTACATATTCCATCATATCAGCGAATTGTGGTATGGATTAAAAAATATAAACTTTTCAGAAGTATCACACGACAAGTGTTTTAAAAATTTTCCCTGAAATAATGTAAACTTTTAAATTATTTGTCAGTCGAATGCAAAGATCAAACCTTTATATATGTAAGCTGCGTTACCGGTTTTCCATATCGGGTCATATTTCCTTTTGAATATGTTTTAAATTTTCAAATTATATAAGTTTTTAAAAATATTAAATACAATTAATATTGAAAATATATGACACCAATATGGATATCAAATAAAAGTGAAGGATTTTAGCACTATAATAAAATTATTTGGTTTGTATCATCCAGGATAAAACAGCATAAAATAATCTTTAAACTATTTTGTTCTTTAATATCTTTATAAATTTAAATTTCAATGAACTAATTTTTATGTCTATCTTTTTTATTTGTTGTAATAGAAACGTCCAATAAGTGAATAAATTCAACACCTTTGTATATGTGTTTTCAAAACCGGGTGATCTGTCATTCCCAATTCAATATCTAAAAACATACCAGTTAGCAAACAAACTTAGTACTTGTACATACGATTTATGAATATTTTTTATAATAATGTTTATAAAGTGGTCGTTGGGTGGGCGTGGTCAACATTTTGTAAAATAAATTTTAATAACGTAAGAAATATGTACATACGACTAAGGAATTTTTGATCATGATGATGATTAAGAAGTGGACTAAGGAATTTTTGGTAATGATGATGATTAAGGCGTTTTGTGGGCATGGTCGATATTTTGTGAAATTAATTCTTATACCGTCAGGAATATATCGAAGAAGTTTCAAAACGATATTCAATCTTTTAATATTTTGTCGCTCTTTTCTATGTAACTGCCACCAGTGTGAAATGGGGGGTTTTACCGAACCGACCCTTCTATCGAGTTCTAAAACCGACCACTGTCGGGCCAATTCATCTGCAATATCATTACCCTCTACATCACAGTGTACCGATACCCAACGCAGCCTTAATGTGTATAACCTGACTAACCCTTCCAGGTCCCTTTTGCAGCTGTTTACCAAGCTAGAATGTAGCGTTTTACACTGCAAAGCTTTAAGGGCTGCCTGACTATCAACATAAATCGTCACTTCCGATCCCCTAGTAATGTGTGTCTTAATAATGTCCACGGATTTCCATATAGCCAGAATCTCCGCCTGAAAGACGCTAAATTCGTCCGGAAGTCTGTAAGACACTTTTATGTTGTCATCTGCCAAATAAACCCCGGCACCTGTGCCAGAATCCATCAGTGAAAACTGCACACCCCTCAAACAGTACCTCGGATCCATCCCACTCATCCCTACTAGGAATCACTATTGAATGTGTTACTCCGAAGTCCAGGTCGTAACCAAATGATCAGAAATACCCTCCGTACTTTCCTCAATTCCTGTTAGACCTACCTCGTACAGTATTCTGGTGTGGCCTACCCGCTGGTCTTACTAGAGCTGATTCAAACAGTCTAAATAAGTTCTTAGAAGCTACACTCTCAACATAAGGTGTGTTTCAAAACTATAAGAACACTTTTTATTATATTATTTTTCATAAAAATGTAATAAATTTTATAAATTATTTTGGAAACATGATCATACTTTTCACCGATGTGCAATTGTTGTTGTTGTTGTTGTAGCAGCGACACCTGAAATTACACGTATATATATTTAAACATTATTCCCTACTCTTCTTCTTCTTCGCTCTGGTTATCCAACTCCGTTAGATCTAAACCCAGTAGACGAGCCGCATCCAACGGCTGAGTCCAAAGGGATTCAGGTTCCAACTGAGTTGGATTTGCCCTGCAGTTAAAAAGGTGTTGAACATTGTGTGGGCCTGTTCCACACGCAGGACAAAGATCTTGAATGGTGTCGTTTATTCTCGACCAGTACGAGTTTAAACGGGTACACCATCCGGATCTTAGTTGTGCCAATACCACTCTAGTACGACGTGGTAGGTTTCGTTCCTCGTTTGCAACGGGCGGGGGACGGCCTCCCAGTATTATACTATCTCGGTGGGAATTGATGGAGTCTTCCACCGCCTGTTGATGGATAGTATTCAAAGCTGTCCTGTATGAGCTTTCGTCCTCTATATCATCCAGGTGTTCTTGGATGTCACTCTCATACATACGAAGATCTTTCCTGACATGCCTCGGGGGGGGTTCTAACTCCGTTAGATGGTGGTTAGGGTGGCCCCTCCGATGACATCCCAGTAGGAACTGCTTTGACAGCATGATGTTATGTTCCTTAACTGAAAGCATCTTCGTTTCGTCATGCAGATGTTCTTCGCATGTCATTTGAATGCAGCCTGTCACCGTTCTTAGGGCTGCGTTTTGACAGCTTTGAAGCTTCTTCCATTGCGTGTCGCTAACTCTAGGTGTCCACACTGGCGCTGCGTAGTTTACCACTGACCGGCCAATCGTTTGGTAGGTAGTCAACAAGGTTTCTTTATCCATTCCCCAAGTGCTGCCGGCTAGAGACTTGAGTACCTTGTTTCTACTTCGCATCTTGTTGCAGATTGCAGTGGTGTGCGCTGAGGACATAAGGAGGCTATCGAATGTGACACCAAGTATTTTGGGGTGATTTACCGT